CATCGGGCTGCTGTCTTCAGTCTGTGGTTCAAACGCACCAGCCACTTTGTGGAAGAAAGATGAGGTTATCTGCTCCTGTAAAGATTGACAGTCTCCAAACTCCTATAGAGGGGTGCGATGAGATGGAATCGACTCGATGGCAGTGGGTTTGGCTTTGGAGTTTGGAATAATGTAATACATTTCTTTTAAATATCTGCTCAGAATATGGAACTCAGGGTAGTAACATCCTAGCTGAATAATAATGCTTGCATTCTTTGCTACTTATTTCCTGTGATCATAGAAGAAAGCCAGGCTCCATCGATGAGGAGCTGAACTTTCTAAGAGTTGCTACATCTTTGGGATAGAAAATATCCGGAGACAGAGAGCAAATGTTTTGAGAATGATGAGGGCAACGAATGTACAAATGTGCTTTATACAATCAATGCATGTATGGATTGTGATGAGTTGTATGAGCCCCCAATAAAATGATTTTTAAAAATACTACAAGTTTAAAGAAAAGTGACAAATATTGCCTGCAATCCTCTAATAATAAATAATCATTATGTTATGGTTAAAAAAGAAAAAGAAAAGATCCAGAGGAGTAATTGTATCCTAGACAAGATTGTCTCATTTCCCGGCCCCTAGTATGGTCTGTCTACACGGAGCCCTGGTGGCACAGTGGGGCCGCTAACCACGGGCGATAGATGTGGCTTTTGCTCCTATAAATAGCTGCAGTCTCAGAAACCCACAGAGGCAGTTCTATCCTGTCCTACAGAGTCCCTAGGTGGGGGCACATAGTGATTGGATGATATGATTCAGCTGTGAGGGATTGCGAACAAGGTTAATTGTGATTGCCATCCGGCTGGGTATAAAATGAACCCTCTCTGCAGCAGGAAGAGAGGAAGTTTACTACCAGCAAGAGGAGAGCCAGGAGTGAGCCTCCTTGATCCATGATCCAGGGGCAGCTTTGACACCACAATAGCAGTGGAGGAGCAGCAGCAGCTGAACCAGGAGCCAGAGCATGGGACAGCAGTGGATGTCACAGCCCACAGAGTAAGTAAAGCTCAATGCTTTGGGGCAGGAGTCTGGCTTCACTATGGTGCCTCTCGACACTTAATTGAGAGAACTGGGTCTGCTGAAGAGAGCTGGAGTGTGCCTGCCCGTGGGCTCAGGCTTATAACAGAGTGGTATGCCCTTTGGGTTTTTACTGACAATTTGTAACACTGGCAAGCTTTGTAACATTGCCAGAGCTGAGCAGTGGCTAGGCCAAGAGGCTGAGGGCCAGAGAAAGACTTTTTGCTGCAAAGCTATCCTGCCTCAACTATATCCTAAGCATTTCTCACCTGAGTTGTAACCCATTAACTTCCCTGATAATAAGCCATGTAATGGTGAGCATTGTCTGTCAATATGCGTGGCAATTACCATGAATACTAGAAACCAGCCAAAAGTAGAGAGACCTGTAGGAGGCACAGTTGATGGCAGAAGTGGTAAGGAAAGTCGGTAGGTGGGTGCAGGTCTGACATGAGCCTCATAGGGATGGGCCTGTGGCAGCTGATGTTGATCGGGTGATTTTTCTGTCCCTCGTGCAGTTGGAGGAGGTCAGAAGCTACCCCCACATCATACCCTTTCTTCTTTGCAGGTTTGTATTTGCATTATCTTGCCTTGGCCTCCCATGATTAGGGCCCATTCCTGTGAGACAGCAAAGACTGGCTTCTTTCATCTTTTCTCCAAGGTCAGAAGTTAGCACTGTCCCCCTCGCCCCACAGAAAACAGACAATCTGCAGCCTCTAACTACTAAAACTTTGTATTTGATCAAGGTGTGTGGTAATATTCTGGACATTCTCCCTTCACCATAGTTCTTGTCTGATGAGATTGAGTAGGATTCCCTTTCTTACTGTGGGGCTCCTTGCGCAGTCTGCTTTAGGCATGACAGGCCCTGGAATTTCTATTTGCTTCAGAGCCCTGAGGGTGTGCATATATCTCCCATTTGCTTTCTTTAAAATGTTCAAAACTGTTTTATTGACCTATAATTCACATACGCAATTCAATAGTTCAATCCTATTAATGTTCAATAGTTCAATCATCATCACTATCAATTTGGGAACATTTTCTTTCTTATTCTCTTATTCCTTATGTTGTTATCTCCCCCACTTCCCCCAACATCACTCTCCCATTTGCTTTAGAACTGTGAAACCACCTGTTGTTGTTAGGGGGTGTGGTATCATCAGTTCTGACTCACAGCAGCCCTGTGGACAACAGAATGAAACAGCACCCAGTGTTGCACCATCCTCCTGACCTTGCTATATTTGAGCACATGTTGTAACCATGAGACCAATCCAGCTCATGAAGAGTCTTCCTCTTTTTCCGTGATCCTCTACTTCTCCACCAAGAACAACATCCAGGGACGGGGCCAAAGTATGTGAAATAACACCTCATGACCTTGGAGTCTCAGGAGCATTCCAGCTGTGTATCTTCTATTACGGTTTAGTTCACTTTTCTGGCTGCCCATGGTATATTCATGTTCTTCTTTAATCCCATAATTCTAAGGGCAGTTCCCTTCTCTGTTCTTCCATATGCACTGTCCGGCTTTCACGTGTATATGATGCTATTGACAATACCATGGCTTGGGTCAAGTACACCTTAGTCCTCAGTGACACCTTTTGCTGTTTCACACTCAGGGCAAATTTGCCCAGTGCAGAAAGTCCTTTGACTTCCTGACTGCTGCTTTCAGGGGGATCATTGTGGATCCAAGTAAAATGAAACCCTTGACTACAGTCTTTTCTTCATTTTTCTTGATGTTGCTCATTGGCCCACTTGTGTGGATTTTTGTTTTACTTTATGTGGAAGTGTAATCCCCACTGAGCTTGTCGTCCCAGCCCATGAATTCCTAGAACAGCAATCTTTATACGTTCCACTTCATTTTCGATGAATTCAGTTTTCCTAGGGTCATACTTCATATATTCCACACTCTGACTCTTAATGGGTGTTTGCAAATTTGTTTGTGACGAAATTCTAATTTTGAGTCATGCCACATCAGCAGAGGATGGTCCTGAACGCTTAGCTCTGTGCACACCATTGCTGTGGACTCTCGATTAAGGAGGCAGCTCTTCCGCTTCCCATTTAACTATTTAGTCCCCAAATTAATAGTGACCCCATTTTTGCAGAGGAGAACTTCTCCTTAGCACATTCCTGACTGTGATCCTTCACAAGCCATGAGCTAGGCCCGTCTAAAGTGCTTCTGGGTGGGTTCAAACTGCCACCCTTTTACACCATGCAGAACTGACTTGATGGCAACTGGCTCGGCTTTTGGTTTAGTCCCCAGTTCTAATAGGCAACCAAAGTCAGGAATGGCAGTGTCGGATGGACCTCAAGGCTTCATTTAGAAACTTCTATGATTTTTGAGTCCTATGTGTTTCTGTCTATAAAATCAGGCCCCTTTTCCTATCTTTAGAAAGCATATAGAATCAAGTACATGAGGGAGGGGGGAACGGGGAGGGAGGGGGAAAATGAGGAACTGATACCAAGGGCTCAAGTAGAAGGCAAATGTTTTGAGAATGATAAGGGCAACAAATGTACAAGTATGCTTGACACAATGAATGTATGTATGGATTGTGATAAGAGTTGTATGAGCCCCCAATAAAATGATTTTTAAAAAAACGTATAGAGACATTTG